AATTTTGTCGTTATCACAACATAACAAAAGTTATTTTCTTGTTATCACAAATTATTTTTCTTGTGATCTCGACATAACAAAAGTTGTTTTCTCGTGATCACGACTTATTTTTCTCGTGATCTCGACATAACAAAAGTTGTTTTCTCGTGATCACGACTTATTTTTTTCGCGACCTCAACATAACAAAAGTTGTTCTCTAAGTTACACAACTGTGCCAACAGGTGGCAGTACAGAACTATTGATGGGGAGTTGTATAGGCCTAAAATATCCACTAGGCCTATACTGTATGCGTTTGGGACAGAGGACCTTCTTCCTGATCGCTATAATTTGTGTAGTTCATTACTGACATTTAATTAACTTATAAATGTTAAATGCTTGAATAAATATGATCATTTTGCTTGAAATTGTATCTGTTATCTTACGTTATTACTGCTGCACGACTCATCACAGTTTCTCATTTACAACGACATTGTAATGTGCATCTTTCTTATTTTTAATCTTTATCGTTAATAAATGTATATTAATAAGAAATGTGATTTACATATGTGTATAATTTAGTTCAATGATGTTATGCAGTGTTGTGGCCTAATCTTTTATATTTTCTAAATTTCTTTGTAAACCGCACACACATAACCACATCAAAATAAGCACAACAAAATATCAAAACAATGATGATTTAACATACTTTAAATGAAAACTTTTAATTTGACATCACAAAGTGCACCTTTTAAAAGTGTACTTAAGTGTGTTAAGACATGGTTATTAAATTGTATTCCCTTTAAGGACACTTAAATGGCCTTTTATTTTATTAACATTTGATTATGCAAGTACATTTAAAAAAAAAAAACACTTTTAACACTTTTACAAGTGCATTGAACACTGTTAAATGCTCTTTTTTGTGTGTGTTTTACAGTATTCAGTGTGTGTTTTGTATCATGCTATATTCTGTTATGTTGTATGTTTTGTGTTGTACTGTATTGTGTCATATGTGTTGTTTGGTGTTTTGGCTACCTGAGTCGAGGCTCTTGAGGAGTCTATAGAAGTTGGGGAAGAACTGAAGGTCCTGCAGTCCATCTTCAGGGTTCAGTTCGTTTCTGTCGTTCCCATCGCTCACGGCGTCCCATGAGTCTTCAGCCCTCACTGTGTCATCTCTAATCTCCTCCTCCTGTTCTTCATCACCATTATCATCATCACCACCATTATCATCATCACCTTCATCCTCGTCATCATATCGTTGACTGGGCCTGTCTTCCTCATCCTGAAGAGAAGAATCCAAGCAAATAGAGAGTTTTTTTTGTGGATAAATATGCAGTTGGTAGAAACACTACAGACACACAGTCACACACTCGTACCATATTGTTTTGTGTGTCTTTCACAGAATTAACAGGGTAGTCCATACTGAGGTCTCCAATCATGTTATCTTTGGCATTTTTGGTGATCAGATCCTGCAGGGCTTCAGCAACTTCATACTCCAGTGTCTCTGCCTGACTGTCTGTGATCTGAAGGTCAAACAAAAGAACACAACACCTGCTAGAACAATCAGTTCACAAAGGTATTATTGTATGACAATCTTTTTTCCATGCTATTTAAGCTGGTTAAACTGGAATATGTTTCCCTAGAGGAATTAATACATTATGTATGATGTTTATTGCATGGCTCGTCAATATGGCAGCTATCAGAATCACTGCGCACGCCACAATTTGAATCTCTTACTAGACCCAGCTTGAGCAGTTTAGACACAATTCTGTCAAATACTCCTCGGTCATCCTCTTCGTAGATTTTGTTGGCGATTTTCTGGACAATGTCATGAGCTGTTAGAGGGGTCCCGTCCAGCTGCCGAAAACTTTCAGGATCATCTGAAAAGGAACACATTAAAATACTTCACATCCCTCCGAGGAGGATAACTTTAAATATAGAGTTTTAATAATTGTTCTAATTCTATGAGAATAGGGACGTCCAAACCACAACTATAATGATAACAAAATCACTTTTAGATACATTTTTTTTTCTTAGCTGATAAATAACAAAAAAATGTTGAGAGCCAATCAGAATCACCTGATTTTAAAGCGCTTGAGCATTTAAAGCAGCAGGTTGTGCTTATAATAAACAAATATTAAAATATTATCTGTTGGTGTGGATGCTTTTTTTGTTATAGTTATCGTTCCAGTTTCTTACATAACTGTACTGTATCCACTTTTTTTTTTAAATAAATAAATAATTCTACCTGGTCTCGTGGCAAAAACGTACCTGGGGGGACTCTTTTGCGAGACGCGAAATACATATCAATAAGTACATATCACTGCAGTTTCCAAAAGAAATGAACACTAGAGGCAGTACAACTCCGATACCTTTTATTCCTTTTCACACAAATTTACAGTTTCGATTAATAATTAATTTTCGCACAATTACTTGAAGAATATTATTTTATGACTAGGATATTTAAAAAAATTATGCTTTTGAATGTTAGCATCGCACATATCCAACTTCATATATATGGGTTTTCATAGAAGGTAGGTTTGTTCAGTTGCTTACGGAGTACGGCGACATAACGTACTTGAGAGGGGAGGAGCTCCAGTTCGAATCCCGTGTAACTACGGTTCGACAAAACAGTTTAAATCTTCATATAAGGAAGTTTAAATGGCACGGTTGCATCAACAAATGCGTTTTTATATCAGTTTTGAATTTGTTAACACTATCGGATAGGTTTAGGGTTGGGTTTGGCATATTTCCAACACGGTAGAGCAGTAACTTTTAGCGACAGTCCCCGGATATTTGAATTCTGAACCGCCGCAATACGTACCTGAAGCAACGTAATAAAAACACAGCAATACCTAGCTATATCAACGTAATAAAAATGTGCCAGTGTTCACGTATTGAACCCGTGTTTTAGCACTACTCAGTGGACATTTCGTGCAGTAACGTACGTAAAAACGGTGTTGCAAAAAAGTACCCAGAGGTATGTATTTTTATGAGACCAGGTTGAAATAATTAAGTTCGAAATGAATCAATATTTCACGTCCATTTATTTAACAAGCATTTCGCCTCTGGGTTCTGATTACCTTGTTAAGTTTATTTTACAATAATCTATCCCTTACTTATTTTGGATAATAATCAGGAGCATTTCTAGCCTTTCATCTGCATTGGGGAATGGATATAACTTGATTATAAATGAACTGCTGATGGACTGTAGGTAGCGGAATATCCACCTTATCCAACATTTTTGGGTGTCTTTTTCTGTGCCATAGGTTTAGTTTCTAGTGGGCTGTATTTGATATTGCTTTGCCAGAAGCCTACAAGCTCAAAGCTCTTAAAAAGCGAAATTAAGTAGGAGGAGAATGTGTGAAACAGAGATCTGAACGTTGGAGCTGAAATCTGCCAGCAATTCTTGTCTGTCTGTAACCCAGTGAAATCACACAAAAACACCTCCCACTCTGTTATCTGCCATTATCTACCACATAGATCGACTTACACTGCCTTAACGCTTCCAGTAAACTCACCATCTGCCTGAAACGTGACACTGATCAAACGTCTGACGCTCATTCTGAGTCAGAGGTCTTAGGTGGTCTGAGTGCCTTTATGACATGACGGTGTCATAAAAAAAAACTTAAAGCGGTCATATTATAAGTTAATTGAGCTGCAAAAACTGCTTTTCCTTGGATAGCTGACATCAGGCATACATGAACACGTGACTGCCCACATCTATTCTGTGTTCAGAAACATGGTCCACCCAGTCTTGGTGAGGTAAAAAGAAGGACATAGAACAGGTATTCCTATTCCTAAACCCCATAAGAGCTAACAAGTAAAATGTGGTGAAGTCTGATTAGCACCTACAGCTCTGCAGAGCCTTTGTGATTTTGCGATTTTATTAAGAATCATAAATCACAATACATCACAATGTAACAGTGGATATGCAAAGAGGTTGTTATTGAAGGAAGACAACATATATTTACAAAACTACTGTATAACTGACCCAGCAGTAAACTGGTAGCCCATATGCAATAATAGTTTCACAATAGTTGGTTAGCCAATCATAACACAGGGCATACTTAAAATGCACAACGACTGCATATTTAATTGTAAGAGTCATAAAGTAGAAAATGAAACATGAAAAAAAAAAAATAAACAGTTGATTTTCATCCAAGAAATATCATAGGGTCGGGGAAAAATGGTAAAAGGAATAATGACATGACCTCTATGAGCTATTGTGCTATTATTAGAAGGGTTTTTAATGTGGGTGTATGTTTAGTCTGACTGCCCTGTTGTAGGGGACTGTGGGCTTTAATGCTACTGTATAAAACCTCCAGTACAGCAGCCTGTGGAGCGATAATCCTCTGATTCTCTCTCTCCTTCTCTCTCTCACTCTGTCTCTTTATCTCTACAAAATACCTCCTGATTGACCCATGGTGTCTGCCACCTGTTCCTGTATTTAGGATCACATACAGTCAAAGGGATGGATTAGCACTTTCAAAGTGGGAGATAATTAGGCTTAAGTCACAACTAAGAAAAATTTTCATTGATCTTTTACGCTTTCCTGAGGCTGGCTATTTTACTATTTAGAATCCACAATGTCCTGGCACAGAAAATAGTTAAATGGAATAATAACACAGTAAAATACATACTAAATGATAAGTGAAACAGCATGCAATTATAAAAGGACATAAATATGGTTACATTTTTATTTGACAATGACTTAAATGTCTTGACTTTTTTTTTTT